GCATTCCGGTGACTTCTGTAATTTCCGCCCGCACGCGCGGAATCGCCTTGATCTTCCTCTGCGAGAAACGCAATTCCGGCTCCTCGGACGATTCGTTCGCGCTCGTGTCGCTTCCCCTCGGATTCGCCAACTTAACCTCCACCTCGGACTCGCGTTAACCGTCACATCGGAGCTCGGTTGTCGAATAATAGAGGACGACGTCGCGAGTTGACAATTTCTTTTCCACGGCGCGTCCACGCACGTTCGCGGCGCAGTAACCTTTGTATCTTTGCAGCTCTGATGCGCCGCTGTCAGTGCCAATGATACGCCACATCGAGGAGTGAGCCGCGGTCTGTACCTATGCGCGGATAAAAGTGTACGAGCCCCACAATGTGGTCCTTCTTCTCGAGAGATCCTGCCAAGGATTTCCCGTACGACATCGGGGAGCCGATCCCGGGCCTGGAGACCAAGAGCATCTGGACAATACACAGAGCTAAGAGAAAGGTAACGCCAGTTGGCCGGCGGTATTGCGCTGTAGATCCATTTCTGTCAGCGTAGATTAACTTTGATCTCGCTTTTATCCTTTTCCAATTCTCAGGACTAGAAAGAGATTGAAAGTGAGTTAAAACCGAGATGAAAGTTAATCTACATTGGTACAAGTGGACAAGAGGCACACGAGTGCACTTGGTTTGCTTCGCTGATCCGCGGGTTGATTAATAAGCGGTGGCAGTGGTTCAGCCATCATCTTCGACGATCCATCGGTGAAAATATTATTTTTATCCTTGCAAGATCTTCCGCAGGGCACCGCGGCGGCAGGCGAGGACGTCTCGGTGTTTGTCTTTGATGTGAAAAACGGAGGGGAGCAGCAGCTGGACATTGCCCGTTCGGCTGTGAAAAGACTCAAGACACTCAGACACCCGAGTATACTCGCGTATCTCGACAGTCTCGAGGTATGAGTTGTATCGTGGCTTTACGCAGTGGCGGTGTGCTCTCTGCATAAAGATGTAACCTGTGTCTCGTTACTCCAGACTGACAAAATGGTTTACTTGGCCACAGAGCGGGTAGAGCCGTTGTACAATCGCTTGACGCAAAGGTGCAACCCCGAGAATGAGTCCAAGAAGGAGCTGTACTTCTCCTGGGGCATCTTTCAAATCACAGTACGTATAAGTATGCAGACATCGTCACGTCAGAGATTTCTGAGCGACGCGCGGGAGAGAGAGAGAGAGAGGTCTATAATACATGTTGTTCGATCTGATGGCAGAGGGCACTTAACTTCTTAAATAACGACGGGAATTTACGGCATAATAATGTCAATCTGTGGTCAGTGTTCGTTAACGAAGAGAGTGGCGAATGGAAACTCGGCGGGGTTGAGTACATGACAGCTGTGGACACACCGTACAATTTCTTACCTTCCACTTTTCAAGTGTATCAGCCGCCCGAGGCTAAGGAGGGCGCAAAACCCGCGACTAAATGGTAAATGATACTATCGTTTATTGATCTTATCCAAACTGAGCGATATATGTAGATGCAACAGACGCAACAGAGACGATACGACATAGCAGTGGACCTGACAAACATTCGGATTTAGTATTAGCAATACGAAACTGATACATGATTGAAAAACAGCTCGGTTGACATGTGGGGGCTCGGCTGTCTGATTTGGGAAACGTACAATGGCACCGTCAGCGCCACTTCGCAACTTAAGATCCCGGGTCAAGTAAGTCGCCTGCTCGTTTTATCTTTTGGTCGAATCGTGATCTGCATCTTAATGCATATGCATTTTTATGTTTCAAGATCCCGAAGCAAATAATAACGGTCTATCGAGAGCTGATAGGAATTAATCCAGAAGGAAGACCAAATCCCGCGGATGTGATAGCGCGTTGTCGCAGTAACGGCGGCTTCTTTAAGAACAATCTTGTCGACGCTCTTCTGTTCCTGGAGGAGATCCAGATGAAGGAGAGGGGCGAGAAGGGGCGATTTTTCTCGCAACTAGCCGCGCAATTGGACTCGTTTCCCGACGGCGTTGGCAGGTACAAGATCTTGCCGCAATTATTGGCCGCTTTCGAGTTCGGGGATGCCGGAAGCGCTGTGTTACCGCCGTTGCTGCAACTGGGCTCTCAGTTACCTGACGCTGAGTATCAGCGACGCGTGGTGCCCTGCGTTGTCAAGTTATTCGCGTCGAACGACCGAGCGACGAGATTACGGTTGCTGCAACAATTGGACCGATTCGTCGACCACTTGCAATCAGCTACCGTTAACGAAGCCATTTTTCCCCAGGTAAAAATGCTTCTTGGGTGCTGTTAGACTTTATCAGCTGTACGTTGTAGTGAAAATACTATGGTAACTTTGTATCACTAACGATTTTGTAAAATCTATAAAAATTATGTATGTTGAATTTGAGAAATTTAAATGTCTTATACGAGACATTGTCTATTACTTTAGAACAAGTAACGAGAAATGGCTATTTTCTTTATTAATTTTGTAAAGTTTTCAATAAATATATTTTTTATATTCAACTTTGAATCTGTATTACATTTACTAATATGTATATGAGTAATAATTTTTGTAAATTTGTATTAATTATTTTTGCCATAACAATAAAATAATATTTTGTACATTGTATATGTATTTCTTTTGCAGGTAGCGAGGGGCTTCCTCGACACAAACCCGGCAATCAGGGAAGAAACCATTAGATCAGTCGTACATTTAGCACCAAAGTTAGATTATAATAATCTTAACGTCGAGACTTTGAGATACTTTGCAAAACTTCAGTCGAAAGACGAACAAGGCGGTATTCGCACAAATACCACAGTTTGCCTTGGAAAAATTGCTCAACATCTTCACCCTCAGATTAGGCAGAAGGTAATGTCAGTCTTCTGCTAACGAACGTAGTAGTCTTTTATTTTTTTTAAATACATATCTGCTATATTTCTTTTTTTAGATTCTTCTTATTGATCAGGATACTCTTTATATATTTTTAAATGTCACACTATTTTAGTCCAGTATTGATAAAGAATAAAAAAACTTTATAAAATAAGAAAATAATATAACTTATAATATGTATTCATGAAATAGTATTAAATCAGTTAAATGTAATTTTAGGTATTGATTGGCGCGTTTATCCGTGGAACTCGGGATTCTTTTCCACCAGCCAGAATCGCGAGTATACTGGCTCTTGCCGCAACGCAGCAATATTTCCTGCTACAGGAAGTCGCAAATCGCATTTTACCGGCTCTATGTCCGCTTACCACGGACGTGGACAAAGGCGTGCGAGAAAATGCATTCCGGGTTATACGAGGCTTTTTATCGAAACTTGAGACAGTTTCTGAAGATCCTGGTCTTCGCGAGTCAATGGGTGAGCACCGCGTACAGCACTAGCATTTCACAATTATCTCACGGCTACTCTTTGAGAAAACCTTGGGGAAAAAGAAAATACTGAAATCTAATTACTAAAAAATGTTTACAGAGGCGGATGTGAATACTGCGACACCCAGTCTTAGCAATGCTGCGGCGACATGGGCCGGATGGGCCGTTACGGCAGTCACGGCGAAATTCTATCGCAGTCAGTCAGACACGCCAAAATCATCAAATGCTCATAACACATCTAGGATCTTGTTAAATAAACCCGCTTCCTTAGGTTAGCATTAATTCTCTTTACCAGCACTGTTATGCCGATTGATATTTTTTCGCTTCAAAGTAACTTATTCAGTAATATACATACACATATATTAGCGATAATTTCTTTTAATTATTTCAGAGCAAGCCAGCAGCTCCCAGAGCAGCGCTAGCACTACTGCCACGACGAGTAGCGCGACGAGTATGACCTCCCTCGATCCCGATCACGAGCACGATACGCAAAACACTCAAAATACAAATTCCGACTGCGATTGGGATTGCTGGGACGCCGATAATTGGGGAGACATGGAGCAGCAAACCACTGCTACACCATCGGTGCCATTGAATCCAGCCAGTAATCTATCGCCGTCCGGCCACTCCCCTAAGGCTAATGAACAGTGGACCAGCCTTGAGGAAGAACCGGTTTGTCGCTTGATTTTATCATATTTTTGTATCCAGTCAAGGTCTCTTTTAGAGCCTATCCAACCTGATATGTTAATACGATTGATACGAGCGTGTACGGTCACAAATTTTAAGTCAATAACAGCAGAATTCTTTGGTCGGTCTCTCTCTAGAAGTCCTTTTTAGTTGATAAAAATATTTCAATATATCAATAGCATTTAAATTGTAAGCGATTAAAGGAAATAAAGGAGCGAATGTTAAGCCAAAAATATATAATTACATAATAGTACAAATGAAACGATGTTGCCCAAACAAATTTTTGTCAAACAGATATTCAGTTCTGGATTAGTTTAATATTACTGTAGCATATGTATTTTGGAACAACCCATGTATCCATATACATATGTAAATAGAGTAATTTGATTGTCTGGATGATCGTATCTCGATGCCGTTGCCAGCAACGTATATTTGTGTGTTACAGGAAGAAGAAACAACCCAAGGTGTTCAAGACAAAAACGATACTTCCGAAGTAGGATGGGAAGACTCGGAGTTTCAGTCTTTCGATGATATTCAGCCCTTAGAGCAACCAAGTATATCTGACTTGATTTCTGAGCGTACACATACGTGTACGCACACATTTCGTCTCATTACAGTTATTGAAACAAAAAATCATTTTCTGCACAGGCGTTCCTAGTGGAAACAACAAATACGAAGAAGCAAAAAGGAAGAGAGAAGAGCGCAAGTTGGCCAGGCAAAGGCAGATGGAGGCGAAACGAGCGGTGAAATTACGAGCCAATCCAGCCGTGAAGAAGATTTAAGCAAATCAAGTAAAAGCTCCGTATGTTAATCATTCTATTGTACATTAAGCAAATTAAATATTACAAGTAATATGATGAAAGTATTTTCTGTAAATCGTATCTAATGTAAGAAAGAAGTTCATCCAAAAACGTTTTCTACAACATTATTTATTAACATTATATGCATGAAAAAATATACATATGTTAAGTAAAAGTTAATTATTTATTTAACAATTAATATTTTTTACAACCTATACAGTCTATGATATAATACGACAGTGTATTTTATATGCACGTAGGGCCCCATTTTTCATAAAATTGATACACGCGCGCGAACACGCCCATTAATACTTGTATTAATAACAGGTAAAAAAGAACATGTGGCGCGAACGCCGCTGGTTTTTTTCAGACGCCACCTCTCAGAGAGAAGTGGTGGCAACCACCACACGTACCCCTTTAGGGGTATAGTCCTCCAGCCTACCGAAGATCAAGTATAAAACCAAATGCTCGGCGTACCAGAACGAACTGGATAAAACTTTAAGCCTAATACACGAGGAAGAAGGAAAAAGAATATAAAATAATTAATTTCAAGTCGCGCAAACGTTAGTACGATAAACTTTCTCTCTTATACATAAAAAGAAGCATATCGATTTCTCCTAAAAAAAATTCTTTCATAAAATAATGAGATTTTCTTCATAGAGAGAACATACAATTTTGTTTAACAAAGGAGCATTTGTATCCAAATGTCCTTCGAATATAACTTAGAGGGATGTAACGTTATATTTCAGCTCAGCGTACCGTACCACGAATAAGTACTTGATTATCGTTACCGGTAGATAAGGCCATGACAAGCGAGTTACTATAAATGAGACTGTTCAGTGGCATTTTCGCCGTGGAAGCGCATATTGAGATAATTGGCGTTGTTAGTCTCCCGCTTGAAGCCTATGTTCTCGTAGAACGGCACCAGACGATCTACGCAATCCAGAGATAATTTGTAACAATGGAAGTATCGCGCTAATTGCACTACGATTGTCACCACGAGTTTTCCCAACGATTGGCCTCTGTAATTGTTGTTAACCACAACGTCTTCCAGGCGTCCTCGCTGTAAAGGATATCGTGTCAATATGGGATTATGCCATTTCTACATCTCCAAGAACATAAAACCAAAGTGTACCAGAGTACACACTGACCGGCAATGAATCGTTTCGCGAGAGGGGAATTGTTGTTCCTCCGCTCGTTCACAATTCGTCGATCGGCTAGAGTGGAGAAACAAATCACATCCTCTCTTGCGAAACGATCCATGACTGTACACTCAGCGTCATGAATACCTTTACACCTCGAAGAAAGACGCTGAAAATATCCAATAGGAGAGTTTGTTTTAATAAAATAAATTTTTCTATCGGAATATATTGAACTTGGCTGTTCTCAGGTGTAAGAGCAGTTACGACACCGAGAGCACGCTCTGGTGCACTTTGGCATATGCACCAAATAATCGCCAGAAAGCGCCTTATGAGAATTGTGTACCAAGCTGCAATTGTGGATAAACTTCTGCTCCACGACTAGCGAGGCGCACGCTATCACCTTCCCAGAATTTACATCCTCGATGACGACGACGTAGTAACCGCCGGCAGCCTTCATGCTGTAGAATCTATCTAAAAGCAGGGGCGACGTGGTTTAATCTCGCCAGTTCAAGTCGGCGGAGTTGAATCTCCATTTTGTGAAAACTTACTCAAGAATTGTTCCTTGGTGACATTTCCGACGTCTGTCAATTGCGACAGGAGGACTAAGAAGCCTGCGAGAGTTCACAAGTGATTGAATTGTTTGCAAGGAAGAGTCGAAAGTTACATTAATTAATTTAAATAATCTAAAACTAATTGAACTGTTCGCAAGGAAGAGTTGACTGTTACATTAATTAAAATAATCTACAAATGTACATTAATTTATCAGAGACTGAACGATACACGTTTGATAAAAAAGCTACAGCAAATGTTTCCCCCTATCTTCGCAGCGTTGACGTCCAATTACCTTTGTCATAATCCGTACTTTTCAGTGGTCTTATGAGCAGCCCAGCAACGTGCGATATCGGCAATCTGTCCAATATAGTGGGATTGAAGAGATTAGCGTCGTCCTCTTCGACAGACTTTCCCTGCACAATGAAACGATAGCGAATTCGATTGCCTGCACTAGTGTGCGCTCGGCGCACACCGAGGCCTATTTATAGCCAATGGTTTTATATGCAACTTCGTCTTAAAAACACGTTCGTGAGTGCTTAGCCGAAACATGATCCGTACGGATGCTCCACAGGTCATTTTACTGGCTACGAAACATTTAATCGCCCCCTTAAGTATAACAATTGACTGTAAACTAGTCCAAGCCTAACATTACATTTGTACATTTCATCATTCACGCATGTTGGCTGCGGAATAGAAAAGTACTCGAGTCTCTAGAAATGATTTATTCCGCAGCCAAGTGACATGCTCGGACAATTAACATACAAAATAACGTTATATTAGCATTAGTGCGACACAGTAAGTTTCCTTATCTTAGGCCTGTTCTTTAGGCCCGGTCTACAATGAGTTGTTAGTCGTTAGTCAGAAGTCGGAACTATATGTCGGTCCTTTTTCTTCCACCCAGAAAGGAAAAGGATCAACATATAGTTGCGACTTCTGACTAACGACTAACGACTCATTGGGTTTGTTTTCTGTTCCTGCACTGGTGAACTAGTGCAGTAAGCTAGAATGAGAAAAAATATGCTTGTCTTACTCCAATTTATTGCACTAGTTCACTAGTGTAGGAACAGAAAACAAGCCTATTGTAGACCGGGCCTTATTACTGCACTACTGAACTAGTGCAATAAGTTAAAATGAAACAGTAGGCCTGTTCTTTATTACTGCACTACTGAACTAGTGCAATAAGTTAAAATGAAACAAATAGATTACCTCTCATTCCAACTCATTGCACCAGTGTGCACTAGTTCAGGAGTGCAGTAATAAAAAACAGACCCCTTGTCTCGTTACGAAGTTTTAATACACTCTTCGCAAAACTGACAGCACGCTATCGCTCCCGTTATCAGCGCTTCCTTATCGAAGCGGCCGGTTCTCTCGTCTTCAATTCGCTTCTAAATAACGCCTCCTCATCGTCGAGAGGCGACATCGGCGACTACGCCTGTCGCGCGCAGCAGAAAAACGCTAACGTATGGACGCCGTACCTGCGCTCTGTTCATGTCCGTCGCTCTTTCGCGGCCCCGTCAGCCACCGTGTACGAAGCAGTGCAAACGCCGCAAACGCCGGATCGCACCTGACGCGACAGGACACAACCTGTCCATGACTGACGTGCCGAGACGCTCGCAGCGCGCGCGGCGGAGTCTGCGCGTACCAATTCGCGCCGCGGACGCAGTACGAAACGTAGACGCGACGTTTCGCTTAATTTTTTTCCATGGACAATTCGCGCGGCTGATTTTCTTCTTTACAGAGAGAAAAGAGAACTCTTCTTTCTCCGACGAGAAAGATTTGTCGAGAGACGCCGCGGGTTCCCGTGGAAAATCAAAAAGGCAGAAATGCCGCCGCAGCTCCCTTTTTTCTCGCTCTAAAGTCGTCGTTCGTTGCACACGCTCGAAACGAACGGCCTATCTATATGTTTGCGTTTCATGTGACGCCAACATGGCCGCGAATACGAAAGCTGAGTAAAGCTGTGCGTGGAGGTAAATATTTTGAATAACAATGACGGCTGAGTACTGTAAGTTCGTGCTGTTTATGAGAGAAAATCCGACGGTAATGCGCAAAAATATCTTGCTTAATCTCTCGCGCTCTTAATCTACGGGCCTGAGAGCAGAACGGTTGTCTTGTATTCTTAAGGCTATTCTACAATTGCGTAAACGTGGTTGTTAGCGGCGTTAGCGGCTGTACAGTGTTGTAAAACACAGTTTTAAACTAGCATTTCCGATTGTAAAGCCTGTTGTAAAAGATGGCTGAACTTGATCTTCCACGACTACAACGATATAGGACATAAAAGCTAACTAATCATTCATTTCAATTACGACGTATCTCACTCTATTGTATATTACTTTGATGTACAACACTTACTACTGCTTCTACTCCTACAACCCTACAACTACGTTTACGCAATTGTAGAATGGCCTTTAAGCCGCAAGACAGTTATTGTTACTTTAAGGGTGGAGTCCCATGGAGCGGAATACGCGGAAGCGGAATCAGCGGATCGCCAATCGCAAGATTATTCTGATAGAGCCCTTTCAAAAATTCCGTCGAAACGGTCTTGTGATTGGCGATCCGCTGATTCCGCTTCCGCGTATTCCGCTCCATGGGACTCCACCCTAAGACATAGATTCAAAACGCAAAACATTGTCCTAAGAGTACAACAAGACGGCCGTTCTGCTCGGGCCCTACCCTGCTTCGTTCTTGATGCGAGCCTGCGATGTAGAGGAAAGTCTACTACGAGACTCCTAATGTGAGCGTCTGCTAAATTAATAGGCATCGTCCGTTGGTACCAGCATGAATTTCTTGCCCTTGGAGCGAAATCCGTTGCGAACAGAGATTTGCGATTGAACGCGGACGTTGAAAACCTACTATCTCATAGACTTTCCTCCAATTGTGTGCACAATAATGTGAGTTCACGCAATGCAGAATACATACAATAACGCAATTTGTGTGATGCACAGGTCAACGATGAGTCCCACTAAAAGAAAGACATTCGTGGCGGACTCGTCCGACGAGGATGACAGCTTCAAGTGTCGGCGCAGTTCTCTAAGAGTCAACCTGAGTTACAGCGAAGATCTATCGGATTCCGGCAACGGGTCCCTCTGGAAGACCGAGATCGAGAACGAGGGAGCAGCGGACGATGTGCGGACTGTCGGACGATTGTCGAGAGGCAGGAACAGCTACGAGAAGAGTCGTCGATCTGATCCTGACGATAGATACGGGCGAGCCGAACGTGATACAAAGAAGCGTGTTGTAGACAAGAAAATGCCCGCTCGGATCAAAGGTGCACAGGTGAAACGTCTCACGATCAATCTGGAGGATATAAGCATCAAGGAGCGCAATCTCGAAACGAGTTGCAAGCGTTTGAAAGACGCGATTCTATGCAAGACTAAACAGATATTTGACAGGGAAAACGAGCTCTCCGTAAAAACCTCAATGGTACTGGGAAGTGGAGAAAACTCTGCAGCCGGTCCAAATGTTGGGAACGAAACGGTTACGCTGGACGTAACTGATCGACAGAGGAAGGATCGGCGCTCCGACATTGTCGCTACACCGACGACGAGCGAAGGATGGAGGAGTCTCGAGAAAATCGTGGATAAATCCAGATTAACTCAAAGACGACTGTTCGCTGAGAGAGACAGGCGGGCGGAAGAGCAACCGAAATGTAGAATAGTCGAGAATGTTGTTCTGAAGAACTTGCCACTTTTGCAAAGGCAGGTGGGTCACGGCGACAGCCCTATACTAAGCGGCAGCAACAGAAGACTCAGCTTGCACAGAGCACGACCCCAGTTGCATTCGCAGAAACAGCTCGAGAGCCCCGACAACACGCGTTCGACTGTACACTCGGTTCAGAATACAGACAACATAGGGGTGCCCGTTGTTTGCTCCACTTTCATCGAGGACAGTGCAACGGCTGACAAGGGAATTAACAAGGACTTGTCCCGCGCCACGTACACAACGAACAAAGTAATATCAATGGAGATGACGGAAGTTCATGGCGGTATTGAGGAACACGGTTCTTACTCGCCGAGTAGAAATTCAGATGCAAATAATTGTAGCGAGAGCAGAAAGAGATCCAAAGAAAGTAGTATAGAGCGGGACGAAAATGCATCCGGCCTGGAGGACGTTGAGTGCCCTGCAAACAAAATTACTGTACGAAACAACACCGCGCGTGCCGACTTGCCCCGCGCAGGTGACGCAAGTCGGGACGTAGCAAGTGTCCACGTGGATACAGTTGTATCTATGCAGGCGCCCACTGAACACGACGGTAAGACTAAATATCGAAACGAAAGACGCCGTACGATATTTCTGTCTGATAGCAGCGACACGGCTCGCTCATCTTTAAATGTGAACACTTCGTTGGACGGAAGGAGTGGCGCCAACCAAGATTTCGAAGTAGTGATCCACGATAAGAAGTCAACAGTTTCGAATAATCAACACGAAGATGCAAATACCATTCGAACGTCATTGCAGGTAAATACGTCGGTAGACTCCATGCGCAAAACATGGCAAGGAAGAAGCGACGAGGATCAAAATCGCTCAAGCATAGATACAAAACGTTCATCGGTGGCAAAGAATAAAGAAACGAATGACGAGGATAAAAATCGTTCAAGCGTAGATACAAAACGTTCATCGGTGACAAAGAATAAAGAAACGAGTGATATAGACTCTCTCGAAAACATTAGTTTAATGGAGAGAATGAGAAATATCTCAATAAGAAAGCAGGTTCCCGGTAACGATCAGTCGAATGTTTCTAAAATGAGAAATAAAAGGCGCTCGAGTAACAGCGGAGGTAGCTACAGCTACGTCGAGGGAACACCGTATCCGATAAGTCGCTCGGTTTTGTTCAGATCACAACTAAAACATGCGACGCAGCATATAGATAACGCGGCAACTTGTAACAGCGACATAAATTCGGATAACGAGGAGGAGAATGATGAGACCAAGTCAGTTGCTCTGTAAGTACAGAGAGAAACCTGAGAGCGGCCACGCCGACGTTTTACTTGATACCGTTTTAGGAAACTGTTTTGCGCGCCCTTGCGCCCATCCTTACTTTCGAAACTATTTTGCTATGCATCTTCTGGCACTGCCGACAAAGTCTCCACTTTGTGCGTGTCCATGCTACGCCTATTTTTCAGGATTGAGCTGGGAATTTCAAAATTACATTAACATAAATTATCTGCACGATGTTTGCATCAATTCCGTTCATGTAGACGATGTAAATTTTATAAATTAGACGTCAGACTCCAGACATGCGCCAGTGGAAATTTTATTGGCAGAGTTAGAAAATGCGTAATGAAACAGTTCCAAAAGTAAAAATGGGCGTAAGGGCGCACAAAACACTCTCCTGAAACGGTATCAAGTAAAACGCCGGCGTGGCCGTTCTCAGATTTCTCTCTGATATCTAAATATACGCAAATGTTAAAGCATATAATACTTTAAGTCATATATACAACACCGCTGTGTGATTTATATAGTTACATTACTATATTAATATTTTGCTACGTAGATATTATGTAGATTAATTATTAAATAAGTGAACATCTTTTGTGTTGTTAGGCATTCGAAAGTTTCAAATGAAATGCATACGTCGACTGGGACGCAAGAGACAATGAAGACTACCGTTGCTACAGAAAACATACCTAGCTGCGATCCATTTGTTTTATTAACTCCATTAACGATCGTAAAAGATATGCTCGGGACAAGGCCTGAAACGGACGAGAGGAATGCAGCTGTACACAATGCGGAATGTATCCCGGCCAAAAAGGGCAAAAGACGATTATTGCCGATTAACGAAGCTTCTCAATATTCAATTAGCCCGGTAAGCATTGCAAAGTGTACACCTGAGGAATCGACGTCTACAAAACGCCACAAAAAGCTGAAGAAGAGGAAGCTGCCGAAAAGGAAGTCGATGCGTCCCAAAAATAATACAAGTAACATCAAGCAGGATGTCGCGAGCAACACGTGGTCGGACGACGACTGTGACATGCCAGAAAATGAGAAAAAACAGAATAAGAAAACGCAAAAACCGAGGAAGGTTATTAGCAAGAAGATCGTCGTCAAGAAATTTGCCGACAAAGACGTGTTGAATGCATTACAAAGGCATCGGCAGAATAGAGATAATCATTTGACGGAGAACGAAGATTCTCTCGATGATTTTGCGAAATGTCGCACAATATCTACTCAACGGCACACGCACAAATCCCAAAGAATCGTCATTGTAACGACTGGATTGTCACACGGGTAATAATAATCGTAACTTTATCTCGAGGTGTTTCTAATCCTCGTTTTCAAGCTGAAATAATTTCCGATGTTCTCGCGCGAGCTTGCAATATTCTATTATGCAGGGACAAGAGTTTGGTGAAGAGCATCGTCAAGTCCCTTGGCGCGGCAGAGACGGAGCTGAACGTGTCGAGGCGGACGACTCACGTTGTGAGCACGGGCGTGCGCACGGTGAATCTTCTCCGCGGAATAATAAGAGGCTGCTGGCTTGTTACTTTAGAGTGGGTTCTGAAGTCCTTGGAGAACAACGCGTGGCTGGATCCGGAGACGTTCGAGATGAAACACTTCTCCAAGGCGGTGCAGGTAGAGCCGACATGCGCGCGATAAGATTCTATGTGCGGTCAGGGTCAGAAAGTCAACCTTCCTGATCGCGACTGCACAGTACGGTGCATCAATTTGCCTCGGGTGATAATTAGGGGTGGACAAAGATTGGACTTGGTTATTTAAATATAGATGCTTTTTGACAATACGACCCGGAGCGAATTAACGCACCGTACTGTACATCTATGCGCTCGCATATCGTGCAACGTGGGTGGTTCCTTTTGCAGGAAAACCGGCAGGACAGGCAACTATTTGGACCTTCGTACATCCCAGAATTATTCACCACGTGCGGGCTGATATATGTCGAACGCAGGACCACGGTGCCGTGTGACACGCTTAAGGAACTTATAAGGACAGCGGGCGGACACGTCACCGAGGATCTCAACCTCGCTAAAATTACTATTGGCGCGAGCGGCCTGAAGGAAACCTGGATTATCGATTCTATCACAACGGGCGAGCTACAATTGACCAAGCTTTATCAACGGAAATGAGGCAGACAGGCGTGAAATATTCGAAATATAATAATATATTATATTATAATATAAATTTCAGATTTATATCATTATAGTACAAAAGGTGATTGCTTTAAAATTATCGTTTTGTCCGACAGCTCATAGAGAGATCATGCGAACAATAAAGTATCTATACTTTTATGTCTCATATTAGACATGACAATCAAGGAGAAATACAATTCAGTTATTACATTTAGTTCAACATAGTTTAGCCTTAGAAATTTAATTCACAAAGCAATTATATATAAGAGCGGGATTTAAATCCCATAAGCTATCGTGTACAATGTTTCCTTTTGGCGCATATTTACTTGCGTCACCGCAAGTCACACATGTACGTGTACAAATGTAAGACATATATTTTGTAATTATAGTTCTCTCTACGTAATTCTGCTTTGAGCGTTGCCTATCGTCCCAGTGCATCTTAACTTTTATACAATGCCGCTGATAAAACTAATGAAGAACCACTTAGAGTGGAGTGTATATTTCTTTTATCAGTCGATAGGCGCGATATATCATTCGACGCGTGGAATTTTATCGCGAATTACGATGCAGGAACTATTTTCGGCTTGATAAAATTACTCGATAAAGCGACTGGCTGGATTTTAACGCTCCGTCTGTAAATATTCCTTCGCGATTAAACGCGGACGCGCGCGTGTGTGTGTGCGCGCGCGCGCGCGTGCGTGTACGTGCGACCCGCGCGATGACGTTTCGCGCGTCACACGCGCACACAACGACGCGCGAGCAACGGAGTACCCGGGTTAGGTTAGGGTCAGGTTACGCTCGCTCGGAGGCACTTTCGCGTGACCAACGGCACACGACGGCGTGCGATGTGTCAAATTGACACGCGTTTGCTAACATGCACCTTCGCATTCGTTTAACGGCGCACTGATTCACGCGTCCCGGCCGACCATGGATTACACCTACGATAGGTGAGTGGCTGAGCCCCGCGCCCGCGATCGCCCGCTCCCCGTCTCCTCTCCCTCGGCCGTCCGCGTATCCAGCCCGCGTCTTATCGCGTTTATCTCCCGCATTGTTTGCACAGCCGCCGACTTCGCTCTTCCGCGCCCAGTGCGGGATCAACGGCGATGCTCGGCAGGCGCGACTGACATGACGGAACAGTACGTTGCGCACACACGCAGACCCCTCGCGAGACCCCGCGTGCGTTTCTTTTAGCCCGTATCTCGACGTACCTGTCCCCGCCCGTCGCTTGTTACCGGGATCCCCGCGCGATCCGCGCCAATGACGCTTCATTGCAATGTCATAACGTTTGGTTTACTTGTTGCAGCGTGGTTCTGCGCGACACTCCTTCCGCAGAAACATGCATTCCATATCCCCGATACAACAAAACAATAATCACGGATGTGTACGCAGGAATACCCGAGAACTTGTTGCTAAATGTAATAGGATTCCTGGTGAGTCTACGATCTGTCGTTTACTATCGTTTGGCTACGCGGCCCCGGTTACTCCGCCCGACGAAATGCAATTTACTTATCCTCCGCAGCTCCTGGTTACTCTATTCGGCCTGTTGCGTAAAAAAGCGTGGAACTATGGACGCCTGGCGCTGCTACAAAAGTCCGACAACAGGTGGATGGAGCTGTTCTACGGTGTTAATGAAAACAGAGACACCGATCCGTTGTGCGTCGAGGCCTCCGTCAATTCTCAGCTCTCCCAATTGGATCGAGGGTTTCTCTCGTGGATCGCCACCGCTTTTAAGATCACGTGAGTGCTCGGCGCACTTGAAACACCCCGTCCCTTGTCCCGCGCCTGGTGCGCGACTTACTTGCCCGTAAATCTTATTGCAGCGACGATGAGTTACTACAACGCGCAGGGCCCGATGGACTATTGTACATCATGTTCGGGCGTTGTCTGATCATACTGACCATCATGATGCTCGTTGTATCGCTGTGCGTGGCTCTGCCGATAAATTTTCACGGCAGCATGCAACCAGGAGACAGCGCGACGTTTAGCCACACGACACTGTCCAACCTGGAGCCCACGTCATTCGGGCTTTGGGTGTACACGGTGTTGCTCTTGGCTTATCTGCCGGTCGGCGGATTTGTCATGAGACGTCGCTTGAAGCAGGTATTGCGCCAAGTTTGCCTGCTGCATGTGCTATCCCCGGGGAAAAAAAGCCATGTATCTAGTTGCATCCAATTGTATCAAAGATGTCATGTGATAAAATTTGATCTGATTATATCCAAATTTTTATGCACCCGCTTGTAAGTATATCAAAGCAGATGTGGTCAGATATAGTTGGATAAAACGGTATAAATATCTGACCACATCTGCTTTGATATACTTGTAAATGGATGCGTGAAAGTTTGGATGCAATCTGATGAAATTTTATCATAGCTGACATTATTTGATACAATTGGATAAAATTGGATATGTGGTTTTCTTCCCCCCGGGATGAGATGCATTTTCTTTTCTCTCGTGTGCAAAAGATAAGAATGCTTTGTTCACGCGAGACTACAAGTGGGAATTTATGCATATTTGTGTGTGGATAGGTGCGGGATACTAGGCCTACTGGAGAATTTGTAGCGAGAACGTTATTGATTACGGATATACCGAAGCAACAGTGCACTGTCGAGAATCTTACCGAATATTTCAAGTATGTAGAAAAGGATATTCGCCAATCACGAACTTTCCTTTGGCAGATAATATTTGTCGCTTTATGTTGACAAGAAACCGATATGAAAATATTAGATAACTTGTAACAATCTGTTCTTTTACGTGTGCATTGCTCTTATGCATTAACAACTCTTTCAGGGAGGCATTTCCTGCTTTAACAGTGGAGGACATTACGTTGGCTCATGATATAAAACGTCTTTCAAAGCTGGATGCAGAAAGGGATTGTGCGGAACAGGCGCGTTTATATTGCGAAAGTTATGCCAAGAAGAGGGAATCTTTAAAAATGTATCCTTACCCGTGCGGTCAAATTCTTGGGCATTGCTGCAACAAGGTAAATATCCGAATAAAACGGAATATGGACGTTACGCGAGCATAAAATCAATTTATACGCATTATCGTGCAAGATATTACCTTTAATGGAAAATTTGAATCTGCAGCAAGTGGATGCTCAAGAATTCTACACCAACGAGGAGATACGACTAACGGCGCTAGTTGAAGAGGAGAAGAATGTGGCGCTTAGTAAACCTCTTGGAGTTGCCTTTGTAACTTTAGGTATCTCGTTTACACAATGCGTTGCCTTTTCTGTCTCGAGTCCAAGAAGAGAATTAACAATTTATGATTAATAGGGACACCCGGTGCAGCTAAAACTATGCGCAAGCAGCTGAGGTCGTCGCCGAATGTAAAGTGGATCGTGGATTATGCGCCGATGCCATCGGATATATTTTGGGAAAATCTAAGCATCCCCACGCCGTGTTGGTATCTGAATGCTGTATTAATAAATTTCGCTTTGGGACTTTTCTTGTTTTTCCTTACTACACCAGCTGTAAGTCAATTTCTTTTAGCAAGAGCACATTACAATGAATATTATATAAATAGAAGAAGATTGACGCTTATGGCATTTCGATACAATAATTAACGTTTTAATTGATTCTTTTGTTGATTTTTGGAAATATTAAAAAATTTATACAAAACGTGTAATGTACTTATTTATATCAAAATTTTAGGTCATAGTGACAACTGTCAACAAATTACCAATTGCTGGCGAGATTAAGGAATTTAGTGTAGTAGTTTCATCTTTTCTGCCTACCGTATTGTTAGTCAGTGTGTCTGCTCTGATGCCCGCACTAGTCACGAGGAGCGAATTGCTCGTCAGGCATTGGACGCAAAGCAGCTTAAATCGTGTTGTTATGAGAAAAACGTTACTTCTGTTGCTACTGATGGTGCTCATATTACCTAGTTTAGGATTAACCAGTGCCGCAGCGTTTCTAGATTGGACTGTAAATGACCGAAATAATACGGCACAGTGGGAATGCGTATTTTTGCCAGATCAGGTAAGGTTCTTCTAGCAATAATAAGAATCGCATTTATTCTAGATTAATTCAGTAAGAGCACAATTTCTCCTTATTGTTACAACATTTGCACGGTATTGGTTTATACGGAAATATAAAATTTGCAGGGTGCCCTTTTTGTAAATTACGTCATAACTGCGGCCTTGTTCGGGAGTGGATTAGAATTGGTCAGATTCCCGGAACTCGCGCTGTACACCTTCAGACTTTGCATCGCTCGCAGTCGAGCGGAAAGGATACACGTTAGGAAAGCGGTGCTGTGGGAGTTTCCACTGGGAGCCCATTACGCATGGTTGCTGCTAGTCTTTACTATGACAACCGTCTACAGTTTGGCGTGTCCTTTAATAACTCCTTTTGGACTACTATATCTTGTAGTCAAACATTTGGTACTTTATAATATATATAATTATGGCAGTAACTTGTAATTGTGACAATATGTCCTGTAATGAAAATATCTTGATTAGGTGGACAGGCATAATTTATGCTTCGCTTACGGACCGAGTATCGGTGGTGGCCAATTGGCTGGAGCGGCAGTTGGTGCAGCAGGGGCAGCGCCAGTTTTAGCGCAAGCTGCTCTTTTAGCCTTAGGTCTGGTAAGAGATGGTCTGTCTCCATTAGCCGCGGTACAACTCACTGGTCTCTGTGCGAGTATTCTGGGCCTGGTAACCGGTGTTACATTACCATTATCAAAACCCAAGGTATTATAATTTGAATAGCTTCACAGGAGGCCACTGTTGAAGATTCCGTTTAAAGTTGAATTAGATTCAATTGAGTCATCTATTCCAATATACTATAATTTGATACTATTACTTTCCTGATTTCAAATCTTTACAGTAAAAGTAATGAAACATAAAAATTATTCAGCTAGTGAAGAAAGTGACTTTTTACATAGTAAGAAAGATAGGAATTCTAACAGGGCCTTCTTTTGACTCGTATGACTTTAGAATATTATTAATTCTTAATCATTTTCATTAGACTCCAGTACCAAAAAGGGACCTCTCAACTGGTCAAAATTTCGTAGCACCAGTATTGCGAAAGACTCAGATATCCATAGAGGAAACCATATCGACTGCTTCGAATTCAGAAATTAATTTACCGAGTCCGACAAATACTACTTCCTCTATACAAGAAAGTCCAAAGCTTTACCAAAATTATGGCGGTGAACAGAGGGTTTAAAATCTGTATTATACTCGATATATATGTAAGAATGCTTCGTAACTTGTTTAAAGTTACCTGTTTAGTAGTGTATTCTAATTATTAAGAAGCTAATGCAATTTAGGGAAACCGCAGCACAAATAATGTACATTTTTTAAATACTCCTTGCGTTACGTTAAATTGGCGTAGGTATAATTTAAAAGAGCAATTGCAAAATACTACTTTAACATCACTCTGTCTACTTACATTTATAATTGTATTTATAAATACTTGATTACCACATAATAATTTGTGATAAGTATAAAAATGATGATTGTATTTAATATAATTAATTTAACATAAATTTCGTTTACTTCCTTATTTTATAATAGTTAGGTATTAAGAATTATATGGAGCCCTACGAAGGATTAATTGATACTTAAAGAAAATATCATTTACAAAGATCTATCTTGTCATTTCAAATCTGGCAGTACAAAAACAGAAAATGTCTTAAGTACACTTAATACATTTTAATATTATAACTGTATTATATTAACGCATTAATATAATAGTGCTATATAACTTAAAAAAACTTACAACTATACACGTTTTACATGGAAATAGTTTTTAATTAATAAAAGGTACAATTTTGATTTTCTTACTACAAATAATGTAATTATTCTATGGAAATTTAAAGTAATCTTTATAATATGTATATATCAATCTTATATTTATCATGAAATTGATACAGCAATAATTACACAGTTTTTAATGATTTGATAGATCAGCTATTGTTAATAGTAATGCAATGATAGAAACACAGAAAATACAGTTAAGCGGGATATTTTATTTCTATTCTGAGAATTATATGAGAGGGTGCACCTTATAATATTTTCTGTACTTTTTATCCTGTTTATATATAGGCAATTGATATAGTATACATAATAAATTTTTGGCAAATATATATATGTATACACACATATGTATATAATATTAGAAATTTATATTTCAACATGAACTTTGGCCCAATTAATGTGTACTCTTTGTGTGTCTTTTTAAAAGTTTTTTCAAAATTTTTCCAAGATAAATAGTTAGAGACATACATACATATATATATAATTTCTTAAACACGTATTATAAATTTTTACGATTGTGATTCGATTATTCTATTTTGTTTGTTATCTGTTTTTCACACAAGAAATTAGAATACACAACTCATTTTATATGTTATTTTAACGATCCAGTTGCATTTTGTTATAGAGTGTATATTTAAACACAAGTGTCATGAAGTAAACCTTTAAATATAAAATAAAAGCTATTTCTTTTCTCTTATAAATTGTATATTACAGACTAATTCTTCCCCTCTATAAATATTCCATTATTTTATCCAAGAGAGACTAATTTTTCACGAAATAAACAAATAAAAGATTTCATTTTAAAGTTTTTTTTCAGCAAGTTTATAAGATAATTTATTCAAACGCATACAATGCGTCGTTGTACAATTTTAGAGTTCGACCAAACTTCATTAAACAATTTTATGATTGCTGGTGACAAATATGATTAAACTCAGTATTTTACTCATTCTTTTTCGCTTATCAAGGCACCACGTCTAATTTTACAATGATACACGTTCGCAATATAAACACGTCAACTACATAATTTCTATTTTTATAATTGTTTTGCGAGATTAATAGATGTAAATATATTAACAAGTGAAGTAAATTTTTGTATATGTAAATTTTAATGTTCCACAGAATTTATATTATATATAATTATATATAACTTATTAACTGATATAATTATATATAATCGTCAATTATATTAGTAAGCTTTGCTATATGGACAACGGGGAATTTCATTGAATGAGACAGAGAAATTCATTCATGGAGGCTAACGCCAATTATAGCTTCCAGTTGACTAGATGTAAGATTACTTAACTCCTTCGCTTGATTTTCTTTCTTCTGTGACTTATGAAGTGTTGCTTTTTTCATTGTCGGTGAACTTTTATCATATGACGTGATATTATTCTCGAGATTGTTCTCTTCCTCTTCCTTTTGAGATTCTTCACTCTCTTCGCTGCTTAGATGAACCTGTGAGGCAACATTGTTGCTTAAGACGATCTCTATGAAAAATACAAATGCTAGTCTACGAAATAGTTGTTTGTGTAACAATATGTACTTTGAAACTGCATTTTAAAAGAGGAATTAGCAATATATATATATATATACATGATACAAAGTATATGTACATATTGTATACATATAAACACACGGGATATTGTCGTTTTATAATAGACGAGACTTGAGTTTCTAAACTGAAAATAGGAAATAAACCATAATAAATACGACTCAAGTTTAAAATCAGTAAAACTCATAGCAATTCATATAAACCATTCAAATGATTAAATTTAAGTATTCGTTTCTAGGTATGGAAAATAGAAGAGGCTGCCATTTTCTTTCTTATAACATTAATAGATATAAGCACGATAAAAGTGTTATATAATTGAAAAAATTTATAATGAAAGTAACAATTGTCATGTAACTGTTCAATCAATTTATATGTATAGCAATTAAATAGTAAAAATTAGTAGTAGAGACTGATAGATTAAAATTTACATCATCTTGGAAAAATATTTCTTGTTGAATTAAATGCAATTCTCTATTCATCATGTAATCTTAAAGTTAAATGAATGATATAAGTAAACTTGCTTCACATTAATTGCGCAAGTATTATTATATAATGCATTAATTTATATAACTTGCTCTTATCAATAATAAATCCACACATCTACCAATATTAAGCAAAAAGTTTTATTTGCAAATACAAAGCTAAATATTTATTTTCTACCAAGTGTCTACTACTGCGAATTTAAAGGAGTAGGGATATTGGGAGTAATGAAAAATAATTTAAAAAAAAGATTTCAGTTTCTTTTTGTTTTTTTGTGGACATATATACTACCTTCCAATATTACAACATAACTTTCATTATGTTATAACATTACAACAATGATCATTGCTTACATATAGCCGCGATGAAATCACAAATAAAACTTTGTTATATCATACAGTTAAGATGATCGTATAAAAGATTGCATTGATTATGTAGATACGGTTAGATTCCAAATTATTTGACATAATTTTCACAATTTTAGGGCTATCGAGTTAATGTAAAATAATGTAAACTTTCACACAATGAAATAAACAAGAATGGCTTCTTTGGTAAATTAAAGATGCATTTACTTGTTTATATACTCACATTCTTCCCTAGCCTCTATTAAGACATTATGCATTATAATCAATAAATCTCAAATTATGTATTTTTCAATATAAGTTTTCTTTTCTTACCAAATTTTACCACCACCAAAGTAATGACACATTCAATTTAATTATGCGCAAACAATATAGAAATACAGGTAAAGGATACAAAACACTAACTGTGTTGCAAATGCATATCTGTACATAAAATATATGCAATACCTCTGGTGAATATGTATTAATAAAGATTTGCGATTAATTGAGTGATCGCAGTGATATGTTTACTAATGACACAGATAGAGAGTAAGGTTTCATCTCACCTCTACGATAGAAACCCTTGGTGATGGTTCTCGCTTAGCAATTTTTTCCATTACGACCGGACTAGTGGAGCTTGTCGAAGAATACTCTTTATCTGTATCGTTATCCGAATATTCTTTTTCGTCTTCGACAGACTTCTGCGCATCCGCATTTTCATGCAACTTGCATACGACGCCACCCTTCTCGCTCTCTCGTTCGAATAAGTTGCCATCGAGATGAACTAACAACACAAATAACAAGATCGCATATTAATTTTTATAACACATACAGCTCGTTATAGTACACAAGATCTATAGTATATAAGTTTTTATAGCAACTTGAGTTTTCTTCAATGAAAATATCGAGTAGGGAGATCATCTTATTTACACCTCTGTGGTTTAATTATTTAGGTGTTTCAATATTCTTCAAGGTTTAATAATAAGTATTAAATTGAGTAAAGAATCTGCAGGGAAAGGAATGTTGGATAAGATTCAGTAATGTTGGAACAATTTGTGCAAATACGCGTTGATGATATTCTCGAATTACCTTGGCAAAAGGCAGTGCTACAATATGAACAGTGTGCTGATGTTCGACGTCCGCATTCTGAACAAAAATGCCACGGACAACAGAATTTCGATTCTGCTGCTTCATCGATTACTACACATGTTTTGTGATACTTTTTGTTACACGTCTTTTGTGAACAGACTATAAATTTTTCAGTCAATGATATGTCTAGTCCACATTGCCAACATCTGTATATTCTCCATCTAAAAGATAAAGACCATAAAATTCGTTAATACATTGATTCCACAACAACCATGTCAAGACGACATTGAGTAACAAGATTTACAATTAACGTACATTTTAAATCGTTTATCTATCTTCGGCGTAGAAATTTTCTTTAACGGCGTGACCGTTTGTGTAACCGTTTGTGCAACCGATTGTGTAACCGTTTGTGTAACCGTTGGCAACGGTTGTTTTTGTGCTTTTAATCCGATAAAACCACTGCAATTTGAGGCACCGCAAAGACACGCCTTTCGCGTTTCTCCGTCGGACGCCAGGTTGTAGTTAAACGTTAATTCTTCCCCATTGTCTATGTCACGCAAAGCGAATAGACCGATGCGTGTATCTCCGTTTACCGTCCACTTTTGCGTTTCGCAGTTTGGGGCGCACGAATGATCTACAAACAACAACATAATTGACTTTCGGGATCACCGTCATTCGTATATCCACGATATACTCACTCATAAATCGACTAAGATTTCCCTTCGGTTCCGCGTCAATCGTTCTGTTGTTGTCTATCGTCAGGAAGTAGAAATTCTCATTTTTCAATTCCTTTTTTCGATGCAATCTGCGCTTGTATTCGGCGTCGTCTATAATTTCTCCCACATATTCGATGACAAATTGTCCCGCTTTAATTTCCTCCAACGATCTCAGGCCCCATCCGCGGCCCACGGTATGAAATGGCTCCATCGCTGGGTATTGTCGCAGCACGAACGACTGATTCATGCATTTGGCTCCAGCTGGACAATTTGCCGGACTGCATTCGACCATTAGTATACGATTCAGACAATCCGTACCAGGCGCGCAAGGATTATCCCACGTGGCCTCGCATTCGCACGCCACTTCGCTCTCGACTTCGGTTGGCTTCACGTTACCCACTGGTTTATTGACCTGTCATATGTTTATTTTCAACAAGGTTTCTAGCTCTTCACTGCAGTTATTCATTAAATTACAACAAATTATCATGTATAATGTGTCTATGTTTCTAATTGTAAAATCAGTTGTTCCAATAATGACAGCAGTGTTGTGACTACAATAATAAATTATTTAAAAAAGATCCAGCGAACGAACGCGAACAACAATCTATGGACGGATCTAATCGAATAAATGTGGACGATGCCGCGAAGAGTTGAAATGTATACCAAAATTAAATCCAAGCAAGTAAACGCAAACGAACACATGGTATAAACCGTACTTTTAATTTTACGTATGGTGGCGGTTTCAGTCCTTTCGGTTCCTTGGTCATGGATCGTCTCGCTTTTACTTGCTGATGTATTCTTTTGGCTTCCTCAAGCGCTATCCGGTATGCATCATCCATCATAGACTTTTTACCTATAGGTGGTTTTATATTTCCATCGCCGTCTTGATACAAATAGGCCCGACCTCTGTAAGGATTAAAACATTAAAAAAGAAGACAAATATATATTAATCGCAATATTTCGTACGAAAAGGAAGCCCTCTACTTACCTGTGCACCCAATAATAATCATTGGATCCCAAAAACATTACGCAAAATTTACCAGGACTTTTAGCTTTGTCTCTAACGTTTTCAGGAATTTCATGTGGATAACATATACGAGACGGCCACCATCGATAATGGCCGAGTTTTACCCATACAACTTCCCCGTACAAAGGTAATCTTCCTGTCTCGCAATCTTCACAGATAAATCCACCGTCAGGCGCATCTATACCTAAATCACCAACATAAAGAATAATTGATTTGCAGGTACTATACTTTATATTAACCATAACGTCTTAATCCAAATTACCTAGGCATTCCAAATGAAAGGAAGTCGGACATGTGTCACAACAAATGAGACTTCCACCACGTGTACAGAGGAAACACCAGGTTGCATTCAGTGGAGGATGCGGTGCTTTGTAATGTTTTGGGCATACAATTTGACTGGCCGTTAAAATTGCTGAACCAGCCGGCAGACACAATGTCGACGCATGATAAGACGAAGGGCAACGGACACATTTTGCCATTCTCTCGTTCGTGGCGCGCGAACGATTGTGTTGTGGATTGTCGGAGCTGCAGGTGTGGCACACGTGATACGGGCATATCAAGCGTCCGCCCTGCCAGTGTGACTGAACAAGATATAAATGTTTATCAATGTTGGGAACTATCGACATTTTATAATATTGTGATGCAAACGCAAAGTTTTACCTGGGGCCACGATATTAAGCAGTTGGAATGATAATGTTTTCCGCAAGCTGGAACGTTACATCTAACTCTATCCCCTTCCCTCTCATTGCATAGGAAACAAGCGGGTGCTACTCCAGATAGGCAGTCGATACATTTGAATGTCTCGTCCTCTTGTTCTTCGGATTTACCTGAATTCGATTAATATTATGTCGCATTTAACCATGTATTGGATTGATGTGAAAAAGTTGTCTTTTGTTACCACGTTGCATGTCGAAAAAATTACTTTTCTCAATGCAATATGTATACACACATATATAAGTTGTATATCTAATCATTATAATTACCATTATTTTCGTTTTCGCCATTAATACTTCTTTTAATTATGTTCAAGTCGCTAAGTAATCTGTCATCTAATGTATTCTCGTCAACAGAATATTCTGGACTGGATTCGCCAGGTTTTACACACGATAAATGAAAGTAAGAATAGCAAGGCCCCTTACATCTCGTTAACTTGCCTGTCTTCTCGCAAATTTGACAAACCTTTTCTAGCTTCAGACCTCTGAAGAGATTGTACAGTCTACTCCGTTTCGTTTCTGAAATAGAATTTTCTTCCCTATCAATTTTATTTTTCGTCTTTTTATTCTCTTTTATAGTTACATCAAGATCAATTAATATATCGTCGTCTTCCGGTGTGCTTTCTTTCGAATGCGAGTGCAAGCTTTTGTACGATCTCCTTCGTCTCGTTTCAGAAGCAGAATTTTCTTCCCTGTCAACCTTAGACTTTATCTTTTTATTCTCCTTCACAGTTGTGTCGACGTCGACCGACATCTCGACTTCATCTGGACTGCTTTCCTTCAAGTGCAAGCTTTCATTTGTCATGTGCAATCCGAATTTCTTGTGGTATTCCGCGCCCATTTCGTGCCAAGTTTTTCTCAAGTATGTTTCAATGTCGCTTTCTGGCATATAGGGATATTCAATCTCTAGCAAATGCTTGTTGTCTTCGTAATAAAGTTTAAACATACTCTCATCCTCCATATTTTTCATGTTTGCGTTTGTACCTTCGAAAGAACTTTTATGACATGCAGGAGACGAAGACAGAGAATCTGAGTTTAGTTTTGAATTAATTTTACCATTTACAATCAATGAATTTCTCGACTTTGATAATTTCGATCTACGTGGCTTTGATACTTCCGGTTTTTCATTAGATACCTGTAAAAGTAAAAATAAAATTTTACACCGCACGCGACGAGTACTAAATTAAATATTATTTATACTAAATGTAAAGAATTATTGACATTACATTCTCTTGCTTAGGACGTTTAATATCAAGCTCATCTTGCTCAGTCAAGTATTTCCTTTTGTTCTTATTTTTGTCATTGACAGTAAATAATTTTGAATCTCTAGACGTCGAGAATTTATTTTTTCTTGCAAAAATTGCAATTCTTTCTTCAACTGTCTTTGGCTGTGCTCGCGTAGCTTCATGAACAGCGTTTTGCCATTTGGGTTTTGTTGTCGGCTTCACAATGAAAGCGGCAGCGTACTTAGAATCCTTCCTCTTCATTTCGGCAGTCAGTGATTCTCCTAATTTCAGGAAGTCAACGAGACTCGTGAATTCCATCATACAGTTTGCCGAGACCCAGCTGTGTCGCCCTTTGTCTCCGAAGTAATGAACATGCACCATTGTCGTAATTGACCTGGATCTAACTACGCCACGAAATAACAAAGATATTTTTCAACATTTTACGTGAACACACTTTTTAAATAACGTCTATGCATGTAGGAGAAATACAGCGTCAGATTCTCGTGCTTGTACACGTTCCAAAGCAATTCTTCTTTCGAACACACCGCAATTTAGGTAAGCAAAGTGTAAAAATTAACGAGTGTTAGATACTTACCTCTCAATTTATAATATATCCTTGAAGCCGGATCGACCGTTACCATACAAGGCCAGAATGGGAAATTGCCGACTCTCGCCCACGCCAACTGACCCACCTTCCACGAGCATTCAATGCCAGGGCCGATTGCTGTCGGAGATAGAATCTCCTCTATACTGTTTAACGTAGTAGACGAGTCGCTGGCCTCATCTGTATTATTAGCTATACTAATATCATCTATATTTTCGTCCACGCTAGCATCGATGGAATTTAATAATTGTCTACGCGTCTTTGGCCTCCAAGTCTGCAAAATTATAAGAGCGATGAGTGTATTATGTAAGTGCCGATAGACGGCAAACTTTGGAGTACTAAAAAACCCAATAGTATTTCAGGGTTCAATATTTATCGTGGAAAAAAAAAGAACTTTGCTCGAAAAGCATTGTACGTTGGCTGCTGGTACACAAATATCCAAATGTACATTTAACGTCAGGTCTCACTAGTGACATTGTACTCTCATTGGGCTAAAAAGTACGCGCGATGGACGCTCCGTTGCCCGGAGAAGCGTCCATGTAAAGAGCTGTGCACGGCGTGTACCTGCGGGCAATCGACATTAGTGGCCGTGGTGAACCTGGGCTTAATCGCACGGCCGTAACGGCTCCGTCCGGACGGGCTGCCATTACAATCGTCCATGAGAGCCTCCCCATCGTTGCTCGCGTCCTCGCTCGTCGAAGCGCCGATATTCACGTCGGCCACCGCCTGGGATCCGGCGGGATCCGGCGCGGACGCCTCGCTGAACTCCGTCCCACTTGTGCTCATGGCGCCGCGCTCAGAACGGCATCCTCAGGTCCTCGCGCCCCGTACGGCGCGAACCGTGGACGCGGACGGGCTCCCCTAACGACGACCGGCCGCGAGGGCCGCGAAACGCTAACGGCGAGGGCACACTCGTCGTGAACGATACTCGCTAACGCTGGGCCGACACGGCGGCGGGCCTCGTGTTTCGACGGACGTCACCGTGCTCGGGCGCTACGAGGGCCTACCTCATCCGGGGACCGAACGTCGGCTTCCGCGCCACTCGGACCTGTACGCGGGGCCTCGATCTCCGCCCTCTCGACCGTCCCAATTGTTGTGATAACAACGAACTGTGAACGAACCTCGCGTGCCGCCTGAGCAGGACGCGTTTCCCGCGATTTTGGGCGGTTCTCATGGCGGCGTTGTCGTCCCGCGTGAAACGGCGGGCGGTCCGGTCCGGGCCGGCGCGAGCGCGCCTTCTTTATCGGTCGCGCCGCTTTTCCACCGTACACCGGAGGATTCGGAGAAAAGGCGAAGAATCCTCCCCTCAGTTATCTCTGCGTTCCACGGGGAGACGAATATTAGCTTTTTCTGCCGAACGCGGCCATTGATAGCGTAGCGTTCGAAATTCTCGGCGGAGAGTGCAAATACGAGCATCTCGCTCGATGAACGTATAAATTGTTTGCCTTTGTAAAACTTGACTCTCTAAATTTTTGATTCTCTCTCTTTCTTCCCAACGTTTTATTATGCACAAATGACGGCATTTAATTTTAAAAGCGATGTAAACTCTGAGCGGCTGGTACTATCGGGTGCTACACTAGCTACACCGCTCAAGTCTGTTCTACAATACGTTGTCACCGTCGGACGCCGAAACGTAGCCGATGGTCCAATGAGAAAATTTCTGTTCGAAACATCCGGCAGCGACGAGCGATGGCTGCTCGCGTTCTCGACAGCCACTGGTCAAGGCCTTCACACATAAAATTCCGTAAGGACGTAAAACGTAAGCGTAAGAAAATCAACAGATTGGATTTGCCACTGCTTGCGTTATTGCCTTACGTTCTCGACTGTGATTGGTCGATTTTCTTATGCTTGCGTTTTACGTCCTTACGGAATTTTATGTGTGAAGGCCTTCATTTCTCACAAGTTTTACTGCTTATTTTTCGTGTGTTCGGGCCTTAACACGTAATACGTAAACCGTAAGGAAATCCTCCAGAGTCGATTATTCCCTTAGTGTAGAGGGGAATAGTCGACTCTGATTGGAGGATTTCATTTACGTGTTACGTCAGAGAGAAAGCTGAGAGCGACCACGCCGTTGTTTTACTTGATATCGTTTCGGGAGACTGTTTTCCCATTTTTACTTTTGGAACTATTTCATTATGCATTTTCGGACTTTGCCGACAAAATTTCCACTGGTGCATGTCTGTGCTACGCATCCTGACATCTAATTTATAAAATTTACATTGTCTACATGAGAAAAGTTGATGCAAGTATAATGCAGATAATTTATGTTAACGTAATTTTAAATTTCACAGCATAATCCTGAAAAATATGCGTAGCATAAACACGCATAAAGTGGAGACTTTGTCGGCAGTGCCGGAAGATGCGTAGCAAAATAGTTTCGAAAGTAAGGATGGGCGCAAGGGCGCGCAAAACAGTTTCCTAAAACGGTATAAAGTAAAGCGTCGGCGTGGCCGTTCTCAGCGTTTTCTCTGTTATTACGCAGGAAAACGCGCGTCTCCAACTCAAAGTATAATTCTTGAGGTTTATCTCGTAGTCCACATTGCCGCGTTCACGGCTTCAGTGAGCCTCGACTCGCCAAAATCCGCAATGAAAAAGAAGCGAGTGGTCCATCCTGATAGAACTGCGAGACCAGATCCTACGCCGTCGAGCTACCTCCGCCGTCTGTCTGCGGCGAGGCTCGCGTGCGCCGCCTTTTATACTCCCAGGCGATGCCTGGCGCCGACCAATCGGTGCTCGACGTAGCAGCGCGCCGGGTTCATTGGCTGGAGCCCTGGCGGTGGGGAGCCGGGGTATATAAGCGGCGTGCAAGGGAGCCAAGCAGCGCTGTTGGGAGCGTCCGGCGGAGGGCGAGGCTGCGTCACGTCGCACGGGGAACGCAACTGTAATTGCGCCCGAGATCCTCGATGAAGCTTCTCGTCGTGAAACTTGGATCTTTGCTAAAAGCTGCTTGCAAAGAGATTTTTCCGCTCCTTCCTGGCACATCCTTCTTCCTGTTTATTAGTTTTTCAACCAAGATCTTCCTTTGCAAGGTAGAGTATTAAGCTTCTGGCAGGTCGGAGGTTTTAGAGAATTTAGCGTAGCGTCCTCGTCGCCCAACTTCGGCCTCCACTCGAGTGTATCGTTTCTCGCGTCCGACAGTTTGGATTTAATCTTCCTCCAGTGGCAGGGAACGTAACCTTTTCTTGGTAACCTGAGGCCTGTTATACAATGCGTCGGTCGTCGCTGTCGGATGTCGGGACCGTCGGGTCCCAATGAGAAAATTTATTTTTTAAAAAGGAGATCGCCAATACAGCACGCATATCTAAAAGGCATCTTTAAGTCGTCTTTTAGATATACATGTCTAAAAGATGACTTAGACTTCTTAAAGACGCCTTTTAGACATGCGTGCTGTATGGGCGCGAAGATGTTCGCGGATATTTCGCACGATTTGCACGCCCGAAGAAAATCGTGGAAACACGCGGGACTTTATACTCGGTGATTCTTTCTTTACAGCTTACGGCATCCTACTCGGTGCTGAATGTCCTGCGGAACGTAACTCGCCCGTTGCTGAACAGAGCGCGAGTGATACGCCGGATCGGCCGCGTAACGAAAGGATGTCGCACGGGGACATTTTCGTTGACGATGTTCGCGCTACCCTGGTGAAAATAAAAATTGGATCGTAAATCGAACGTGAGGGGAGACGGGAGAGCGACACGAGCGTGAACGAAGTGTGTAGGAAGCGTAATTTGGGACAGCGAAGCGTAAAAGAAACTTGGAACGCTTCTTTTACGCTTCGCCGTTCCAAATTACGCTTCCTACACATCTCGTTTGTGCTCGTGTCACTCTCCCCTTACGTTCGATTCACGCTCCAAATTCTATTTTCACCAGGGTGTTCGCCGAGCGGCGTGTCCGAAACGTGTATTACGTGTACCGTGCCAGGTTTCGATCGTCGCGAACACACGGAACGTCGATTTACCGACGAACGTTCTCAAAGAAAAGGTATTAAATTGCGTGCGGAACGAATTGAAACGTTTCGTTAAAAATACATACATGCATAAATCGGGAACGAATTCAGGAACGAAAGTGAGGAACGGGAGCGAAATCGTTGGCCTCGGCTCACATTTGACGCGAATAGAAAAAAACGTAAAGCGTCAGGACAGTCGTATTCCTCGAAATACATTGAAAAACAATATCGGGGCTGTTCAACCGACACTCGGTGTTTGTTCACGTGCCCGCGCGCGTGTTTTGTTCGCGCCGCACCGTCCCTCGGGACAAGGTCGCTTACGCTCGGTCATTCGCTCAACGACGCTCGAGCCGGCGGGTAGACACGCGAGTGCGCTCCGCATTATCGCTCTTCCGCAACGCGTTCGTTCTCGCCGCGTAGCTGACTATTGTCGAATCGCGCGTCGGATTTGCGAGTGTCGCGAAGACACGACGGTCGCGAGGATATTCGTAGATGTTTCGCGCGATACTCAATTGACGGTGACGATTTCTTTAGAGCTTGCGCATCTTTCTCGTTTAATATCCCGCGGAATCGCGGTACGTGTTACTCGCCCGTGATATGCCGGACCGATCGCGGGTAACGAAAGGACGTCGCGCATGGACATTGACGATATCGACGCCATTCGCGGAGCGGCGTGTCCGAAGCGTGTACTGCGGCCAGGGCTGCTTTCGCGGGAAGATGAAAATGATCCAGATTAAAGCGATCTTGCGCTACGATTGGTCAAGTCTGCAAATTTCGTAGCGCATCGCATTGAAATTTTGCTCAACGAAATCCCGAACTCGACCGATCGTAGCGCGAGGTCGTTCTGGATCATTCTGATCCTCGCGCGAGAGCAGCCCGGATTATCGATCGTATCGTCGAACGGTATGTCCTCGGGCGGTCTCAGTTCGCTCGCATCGCGCGAGTCATCGGGAGTGATCGGGAGTGAAGTTGCCGTCGTTTTCAAACTCGGCCGGAGGCGAGCGGCGTCGCGGCGCGTTCGACCAGTGAGTACAGCCGTGGTTGGAATTGGTTTCTTGCGTGTGTACATTCGACGCTCGCAATCTCTCCCGGAACGTGCATTTCGCGACGAGGCTCGCGACCGGCCGCGTTTGCGGGCTCGCGTCGTCGCGTGATAACGTTCGCGTAAACGCGTATGTCGCGCGCGTACGCTATTCGAGTGGAGAAAGTGCCGACGGGGGCAACGAGTGCTGCACCGTGACGGCGCGTCGGTATGAAGTTGGCCGCGCGACGTAACGAACCTTCTCCTCCTACGCCACTTCGAATTCGTTCGTTACGTTGACTCGCGAGGATTCTCGCACCTTCTCTCTCTCCCCCGCGTTATTCGTCGCGGACGAGGAATCGCGCGAGGATTGTCGTCGGGATGGTCGAGCGATTATGCGCGCGAGCGAATCTTGCGCGAGTGCCATGAGGAAGCAGCGTCGCCGCCGCGTCGGGCGAATCGTGACTTTGTGGAATCGCGAATCTATTCTTCCGCCTCGACGCGATAAAGTCGCGCGCGAGTGCTCGGGAGTGCCGTGCAAAGTGTCGCGCGGCTTCTCGCGTTCGGCGCTGATTAGTGCGCGTAAAATTGGTGCGAAAACGTGACGCGGCGAATCTTGCGCGAGTGCCATGAAGGAGCGAAGGACCAACGACGAGTTCTGAGAGGAGGAGGCGGCCCGGGAGGGGCATCGGGCGTCGGCGGAACAACCACGGGTAAGTTATTTCTCGTTTATTGTTAATTGCGGGGTAATAATCCTTCGCGACGATCGCTCAGTCCGCGCGATTTCATCAAATATTCGATGGCATTTAATAGCGAATTGCTTGCACCGAGTGCAGACCAAGGCTCGTTTAGTCAATTCTTATATTTAACGTTGTCTTAAATGCACGTTCAAGGAGTATATTTAGCTAAAAAGTGACTTGTACAGATGCTGTACGGATTATTTGACTGGCTAAAAAGTTTTTCAAAGGGTAATATTTGAAATTGTTTTTATTCTTATTAAAGTGATCCTTAAATATAAGAATTGACTGTAAACGAGTCTTTAGCAGTTTCTTAGTTTACTTGTGGAAGAAAATGAGGTTTCGACATTTGTCGAATTTTATAAAAATTACATTTTATAACATTTATATTTGAGAGAGAATTTTTAAATAAATACAATCAATTATT